AAAGTAATATACTTGAATACGCATTGACCCACTTATTAGAAAATCGACCAATCCTTCTGCGAGGTCTTTGAAATGATCGAATTTTCCCTTCTTCCCGCTTGCCTACAAGCGTAGTTTTGAATCTCCGTTAATGGTTCGCAGGCCTAAACGGTGATTACGAAACAACCTTATCATCTTCATCTATTTGTCGCTTACATGTAGAAAGAAGTGCCGCAAAAAGTCGAGTACCAACAGGAAGTAGTCATGCTTGTGAGCGCGTTTTGGTCTCTGCCACTTCTCCATAACTTCGATATTCATCTCCTAATATAATTTCAGAATTTAGTCTCGCTGAAGTACACCTGACGCATGTAGAGATGGGGTACCTAGCAAAATACTTATTACTCCTGAGATCGCCTTAAAAAAATAACCCCAACACCATTGAGATTCAAATTAAGAAGCAGTTCTGAAGTTCTTAGAGGGAAGAGAGGATACTCAAATAAGAAAAAAATAAGATTTTTTCGTCCTCATAGTAATTCTAAGAAAATGTAGCGAAAACAAAGCCTTTCAACAAGTTTTAGGCTCTGTTCGATTGGGGCATCTTATATTTCGGCCGATAGACGTTGGCCAAATACTGTACATGGTTGACATGAACTCAACACTATTGGCAATTTGAGCATTGCAAACCCTACTTGCAAAAAACCTGGACTTACCTGGGGTGCAGGAATAATGGTAAGCCTGGCTTATGTGTGACTCAGGAAATAAGAGCGGGGCTTCCTTGGAAGTTGAGTTGAAAATGAAACTGACGCTTTCGGCAGCGATACAGAATGAAGTCAATAATTTCAAGTTTTACTCGTTCAGATATGCGCCCGCGCTTCGGGACAAAATCGCAACAAAATCGGGATAAAACTAAAATGATCACTCCCGCCGGTGCACCGGATTTTGGTGCGACCACCTATATTGTGGGCGGATCTCCTGCGGGAGTCAATGGCGAATGTCTGAGATAGAACGCTGTTCAGCATCCTCATGTTGACGTTCAAGCTAATGACGCTGTGCATCCGTCCTCAGCCGCAAAGCACGCTGTTTTTCAGTTTCGGCAGAAGATAATTTTTTGGCGTTCAGCATTCTTTGCATAGATTCAAAGACGCCCACACCTACGCATCTCAGGCTGCTGATTAAGCTCCATTTCGCTATGTTCAGTGCTCTGAATCATAGATTTAATCCTTAGCAGCTTCTGCTCAGAATCAGCATCAGTTAAAAACTATGCCAAAGAGATATCCCTTTTCCGCTACTCCCACCAGTCAGAGCAGCGAACTCCTTGCTTTCCGTTGGCGGGCATAAATCTGAACGCTTTGCTGCGATCAATGAAGCAGTAAAAAGTTGAAAAGCTTCATATTTCTTGCAAACTAAAGATAGTGATTTTCGCCAATTCTTCTCGATACATGTACTTAAACGATAAAATTCGTCAACCAAAAATGTACCCTTGTCATAATTCATCTCAGTAAATCTGACTACTACAGAGGAAAAAAGCAAAGAAACCTTCTCAAGTTTTGAATTGGGAAGCCAAACTGATGATTTATTGTTTTTTGCTCAATGCAATAATATCAGCTTTGCAACAAATTTGCATTGATCCGTTTGAAAATTCAGGAGGAAAACAAAAAAAGAATAATTTCGCAAGTCAACATTTGAACTTTGAACGCTGTTCAGTCAGATTGGCTAGATGCTCATCAGCTGCCTGCAAACGACTCAAAACTCGCAGTGTAGAGTAGTACACTAGTACACTGCTGTACTACAGTAGTGTAGTACACTGCTGACGCGGCAAGTACGTTGCTGCAGAAAAGAGAAATACTACATTGACTCAGACTCTACGTTTGAGCCAGGGCGTAAAATTACATATCTACCGTCTTAGCTTTAATGCAGTGCAAATGAGATAGGGAAATCACTTCTTTAACCGCTGTCTTTAATCTGTTGTTTTTTTTTTCACAGTAACAATAATAGAGTTCTTAGTTAAGAATGTCATTTACATAAACAGCCAGAAGATGAGAAAAATTGCTGAAGAAATGTCTTGCATTCGCTTTCGACTGTGAACTCCGAAAAAAGTAGAAAAAAGCCCAGAACTTTCCCAGTAGTAAAAGTAGATTTGTATGCGTGTTTTAATACGAAAGTCTTAGTAATCATAGATTGCAACAACGTGATCAGTACTCAGGGATTCGCGCCTGCGAGCGGTCCTCCTATAAGGGCTAGCGTACAAGCAGTCGACATAAGCCTAAAGCCTCCGTGCGTGCGGCAAACAGCTGAAGCGCCGTCCTAGCGGCAGGCAATACCGTGCGAACGGCATGCAATACAGTTGTTCGAGCGAGCGGCCAGCAATGCGTCCGTCTTATCGGTCGGCAATACATTTGCCGTGCAAGCGGCCAACAGTGACCTCTATTTTCTGCGCACTAATTTCACACAATGTGAGCCTAAACGGTGCTTGTGTGAGATACGACGCAGTGTTTAAGCTGGTTCAGCGTTGACACGTCGTGTTGTCAATATTTTCTTTTACCTCAAGGCTGGAATGAACCCGTGTGAGGCTACAGTTATCAAGAGTGATGGTGAGGACTTCCCCATGAAAAGTTTGGCAATGCTGCAACCATCGATCCGTGTTCCCAAAATGTGTAAAGGATTGATCTGTTCAAGAAAAATGGTCAAGATATCGCAAAATACATCTACTCCAAGAGCAAGCGAGCGGCCGACTTTCTCCGCGCAAGCGGCGAACATTAGAGACCGTGCGGGCGCTCCACGTTAACCGTGCCAATGGCCCTTGACACACCGACGAGCGATTGTAAGGTCGTCGCTGGCCGCCCGCACGGCGCGAGTCCCTGAGTAGTGGTTTCCATCATAGGTCTATTCCAATTGGGTTAAGGCGAAAAGCGGCTTGAAATAGCGCACGATGCACTAACACGTTCGAAGTTTGCAAGCGATCAAAGAGAGTGAGTAGGGAGAGGTTTAGTCATAACTACCTATTCAGATTATATGACACAAATCACGGAAGCGCGGACGCGCATCATGCTTTCCGCCATACCCGGTTGGGAACAGTTAGAGTACGTCTAAGCTGAAACAGCTAAGCAAGACCTACCGTTTCGAACGATTCGATGTAATTAAACCATTGCTCTCACAGAATTATCAATTCTTATTGCAAGTTTATGCTCACAGACTCACTGGACCTACTTGGTGTTTTTGAGCTTTCGCCTTCCCTCATTTATCTAGGCAGAAATGAAACTCACCGACTAATGTCGAGATCAGTTTGCAAAAAAAAGCAAAAAACCATTCCAAATGATCTTTCAGAGCAAATCGATTTGACGGAGAAAACTTTCTAGCTCGGAAAAGTCAAATTTTCAAATTAGTTACTGCGCGTGTAAACGCTTGAGTGTTGTGTTGCCGGTGCCAACTGGTATGAGCTGCGTTTCTGTGCAAAAATCTTCTCAGTGTTGAGTAGAACCTCGTAGAATTGCCGATCTGATTAACTATCTCTTTTGGCGTCGTTTTCGTAAATAAATACACTTTCTTAACTATCTTTCAAGTCACAGCACTGGTTTACACATGTGCATGCCAAGTAGTCCCATAACATTGAAAAAAGTGGTAATACGGACCCAATTTTGCACGCCAAAAGCTAGGTGGATCCGTTCAACGTGCGATTTTTGAGCGACCCACTCATCGAGTCCGCTTGTGCTTTTGCATAAAGAATCTAGGTGTTGGTAGAGTGCACTATGCAAAAAATCGCGACCTGAGACTTCTTCTATAAATTTCGTTACAGACAGACGACACACACACACAAAAAAACACGTAAATACCCTTAGCCCGTTATTATAGTCATGATATATATATACAGGGTGTCCCAAAAAATGTATCGAACGTTTGATCTTCAATAACTTCCCTACATGGAAAGCTTTCGCGGACCTTTGAGTGTCATACGGTAGAGCTGGGTTCAACTTAGATTTACATTATAGTCCAAATCACCGATTTCATTTAGTTGCTGTAGGATTACGGTAGGAATTTTTAACTATTCTCAAGCTTCCGACAGGAAAAATGCTTCTAAAAAATTCCAAAAACCGAAGGACGTTTCAACCGAAGTTTTCGGAGATGCTAAATCTAGTTAACAAGTTTTTCGCTACCGTACTCCTCATCTCTCTATGCAATGTGATGCTGCTTTGGCTAGCGCGAAAACTTTTGACGACGTGTTTGTAACTGCAATGTTGATTTAGTAAATTTTGGAAAAGAAAAGGAAAAAATTTAGCGTTACAGAGCGCGTCCGTAGGAAGATGAGAAGTACGGTAACGGGAAACTTTGTAATTAGATTCAGCGTCCCCGAAAATCTCGGTTTAACGTCCTTCGGTTTTCTTGGAATTTTTGGAAGCATTTCTCCGGTCGGAAGCTTAAGATTAGTTGAAAATTCTTACCGTAATTTTACAGTAACTAAATGAAATCGGTGATTCGCTCCATACTGTAAATAAGTTGAACCTAGCTCTACCGTATGACACTCAAAGATCCGCAAAAGCTTTCTACATAGGGAAATTATTGAAGATCAAACGTTTGATACATTTTTTTGGGACACCCAATATATATAGATTCGTTGACCGCACGGACCGGACATCACTGCGGAGCACGCGCTGCGAAGTAAAACGCTTGCCCCAGTACAAATTCGCCATTGCAAAGTCGTGGTCTCGCGATAACTCAGCCGGCCGCGCGTGGTCCGCAGCGAAGCATCCGTGCGGTCAACGAATCGACGATACTCACCACAACTTAAAGCCGATTCATGAGCTCCCGAAGGCATACGACTTGGTTACAGATTTATTAGCTTAATGACGAGGCCTACAAAGTTCAGAAACATCCTAATCTTCCAAAGTTTCTCTCGCTTCCCCCCCCCCCGCTCCCCCGCAAATTTCTAGCTGGTGACGATATGTATACTGTTAAGTTGAAATGGTCGAAAAATATTGGTCGTTGTCATTGCTCTTCTCAGATTAAAGATAATGATGCAATCTTAGATGCCGAACCAATGCAGTATAAAGAATCAGATGTTCTCATGCTCTTGTAATACTGACTTTTGTTCAAGCGACCACAATTATCTTATGGTACCTCTCCAAAATTTCGATACGATATAACATCAATGCCTTGATTTAGAAGCTATGGAAGAAGTCTTCTAAGTACTCAAAAAATAGTAAGTACACTGCTTGCCTGCAGAAGATAATAGATGAAGGTAAGCACATAAAGAACATGACCTTCGCAAAGAGGCAACGTCATAGTTCGATAAGGGCAACCAAATTGGCGGAGCATAAATCCAGGCGATTGGAATTATCTATGGTCTAAATCGGGGCACGGTACGAGCTGGCACCAAGAATTTTTTAAAACGAAATTCCTCTTGATTTTCGCTGAGTTTTACGAAGCCCCCTTTGACTCCAAACCTTAAACGTAGAAAAACCTCAAAAAACGAAACGTCAACTAGAAAAACGTCGCAATTGTGTCTTTTCGGCCACAAAAACGATATCCCCTTTGCTTTTTGTCGCAAAAACGATACCTAGCTTGTCCCTGCCAGCTGGTGATAGACCTCGGTTTTTATACACAAGTTTTACACTCAGAGAAACTCAAATCAGAGTCAATTCTATGTTTGAGATTGACGCGAATACACTAATTATGTATGATGAAAGCGCTGTTCCAATTATACCTATAAGACAATTTCAAGTAATTGATGTGTCGAGTAAGAAGAACAGAAATCACAACCATAGGTGGAGGAATCAGAACTAAAATTAGATTTGAATTTTGCTGCGCCTCTAGCAATTTGCCAGCTTTTAAGGAGTGCAGTGCGATGTGTATTGAATTATATGTCGCCGAAAATGAGAGGTCCCTCTGGACATCTGCAACAAGCACACATTCCAGTGGCCGTATTCATCAACGAACCCCGAGGGTTAAACTAACCCTGGAGGGTTAGTTTAACCCTGGAAAGCGTTTAACCCGTATTCATGAAACGCAGGGTAGGCTTAACCCTGAGGGTTAAATCTAACCTTGAGGGTTAAATTTACCCCGAAAGCGACTAACCCGTATTCATCAACGAACCGTGAGGGTTAAACTAACCCTGGAGGGTTAAACTTACGTGATTCATCAGGGTTAATTTAACCCTAGCTCATAGCAGGGTTAACTCTACCCTAACATTCCATACAAACATTTCCCATGTAATAGTCTATGGAAAACGATCAACGAGTATTGTAGTATTTAGTATTGGTTGTTGTTATAGTATTTAGTTTCAACTTCGTTTTATGTTTATATTCGAATTACATAAAACGCTGACTTCGCGAGAAAAAGAAATCTAGCTTTGATGACAAATGAATGCGACGAGGAAAAATGGCATTCCACTCTGACAAGTGCCAAAAAAGAAGAACCCCTTTATAATAACACGCATTGACCCCTAAAAGAGTAGCACAAGCCCGGTATAAAACGAATTGTGCAAAAGTAGAACTTACACTGCACAATTGCACACATGAAAATAAACTGCTGTAAGATTGGATGCTGCACAAGTATGCTAGAGTTGTATTATGAAAACTAGTGTTAGAAGCTTATTCGTTGACTATACTACTATAACAGTGAAAGAATAGAAGTATAAAGTGAATTTAGCCCGTACTTAGGCATTCTGTGATGTGAGTTTGCACAGCGCATGCGTATCTGACGCTTTAACCCTCCAGGGTTAGTTTAACCCTCGGGGTTGATGAATACGGCCACAGGTTCGTTGATCGATACGGGTAGATCGCGTTCCGTGGTAAACCCTAGCCTATGGTTGATGAATACGGCCAATGAACCCTGAGGGTTAAACTAACCCTGGAGGGTAAGCTTAACCCTCAGGGTTCGTTGATGAATACGGCCACAGTACGTGCACAGGCTGGGTATCTGCTACACTGTCCGCGCGGAACCCTCCTTTCGGCAACATGTAGTCCTCCACCCTCTTGCATCGCCGCCATATGCCGACAATGATTTTTCGTCGATCACTAAGAAGCACATGATTCCCACGCTGAAACGTATTGAAATAAACATCAGTTGAAAATGAACATCATTACTAGTTCAAAAAATTTGGTGCAAGCTTCTTATGTCAACTTGATATTAGTCGTCCTAAAAGTTCATATCGTTTTTCGACTCATCATGGGAGCACTTGAAGGTAACCAAACATTGCAAAAAATTCAACGCATTTTTTTATATGTGTCCTCTCTTTATCACTGTTGTTATCACAGAAACATTGCCAAATTTTTAGACATACCAATTCTTTCAACTTCTCATTTCGGACTTTTGAGAAAGCTTCATTAAGAAACTGATTGAAGAAGCAATGTGCAGTACAGTAGATCTTTCTAGGCGTCTACAACTAGTTTTTGGATATTTTTTTTGAGAAAGTCTTTACTTTTAGAAAGCCGTATACGTGCAACATCCAGAACTGGAAAATCTTCAGATTTTGCAATTTTCAAAAAGCAATTATCAGATACAAAGCAAAGCAAATAGTGTTTGAGGCTTTGTAATACAAAACAAGGAAGGGGAAGAAAGAGGAGAAAAAGTTGTTCGAATACTCAAAATGCTTACCTTCTGACATTTTTTGAGGTATGAATTGACCAATTATGGGATTGGATTATCTCAAATATTAGAGGACGGAGCTTTCTTACCCGGTACGTTATCTCGCACCTAAATAGTGTGCCTGCCACACACACGAACTCACCGTAATTACGAGCTCCTCCTCATTATACCTTGGCATTGCAAGCCCCGCCTTGGAGCAATTATCTTTCTTGGCACCCAGCCAAGATACAGTCGAATCATTTCATATGACCATGTGTGCCATTGCATACTCCATCTTTGGCGTTCCCATCTTGCAGTCTTGGAGAAGACAACCCTGGAGTAAGTGTTTCTCGATGTTTTTTTTAAATTTTTCTTCCCCTTTAGGTACTTCTCATCTCAAAATTATGAACGACAACAGATTGAACTCTTGCATTTTTGCAGGGCAAATTTAAAATGAGGATGCCAAAGATGGAGATTGTGTGTAATGCACACATGATCGTATGGAATGATTCGACTGTGGTTGCTAGACCGGCTTTATGTTTTGACAAATTAGTAAAATGCGAGTACCTAGCCAGATTTGTGGACAAGTATGGTAATCAGATATAGTATATAGTTCACACTTTGCTGTTGAATACGAAGGGAATTGTTTTCCAATCAAATAAGTATATAAACTAACGAAGAAAGCGTTTTTGTTTAACGCGACTTCTTTAGATAATTGCTATACCTCGGAAAGCATCAAATCCTGACTCCAAATCTGTATTCGGCGCTGTGCGCCTTTGTTGTCGAATCATAAGTGTTTTTGGGGTCGAAGCCTTGATCGCGCGATTGCGAATTTTATTACAACCGCTGAATGAGTTAATGTCATGTCCATGCAACGTTATATCTTTGTAACACACTCATGAGTGATGAGTATGTATTACAAAAAAAAATGGCCGTCCCAGTGTTCTATTGAGGTCGTGCCTCAGTTTCTTTCCTTCCAAATATTTTGAATTAGGAAGCCATATAGGCACAGCAGGTATCGAAGTCGTCTTCAAAACCAGCATCGAATGCTCATCGAATGTTCATAATTTTTTTGCAATGACCACTTCGACTACAAACACATCACTAGTAAGCCTGTTAAGATTCCGTGCCGTTTTTCTTGTAAGAGCAACGTCACCGAGTGACTTAATAAACTCAACTGACTATATAAACTCAACTAGGAGCTTGTCTTAGATAAACGGTGGGTAAGACCTTTCTTATTCAAATGCTTTTCAATCAAGGCTTTTGTAGTGCATACACCGAAGCTGATTGCCATAGCAATCCCGAAATTTCAAAAATTTGCTTCTGCATTTACGTTGAGCAAAATGGGAATGGTACTTGATTGAGTAAAGATTAACAACGTAGCTCAGGCAAACACAAAATAAAATTAGCATCAATCTTCAAATTGCCATGTAACGGATATTCTGTAAAATTTTATCAAACCAAGCATATCGTAGCTGTGGTATGCTTCACGAGATACGTGACAGCTGACCCTTGATGGGAAGAAGCCTCTGCTTTTTGAGTAGAGCATTTAACGGTTTATAGCATTTCCAGATATATTACGTTATTACAAAAATAATGTCCGTTTTGCAAAATTTTAGTTTGAAAGGCTATAACTTTGTTCAGTCTTCATGCTTTTATTAGGTTGTTACATAAACCTTGTAACACTTTAGTTTTTTACGATGATTAGTCGTGAACTTCAAAATTTTAATGGGGCCCCAGGGTACCTTTCGATGGAGCAAAGCAAGCTCAAGAAGAGGATATGCAACACTTTGCATCAGCTCCGACTTACCGTAAGTTTGCGTCCAGTGTGAGTCGCACTGAAGGCTCAAAGAACTGGGAAAAATTCATATCTTTGTCCAAATAAATCCTACGAATTTCCAACTTACTCATAAAAATTGCACACTATATCAGACACTCATATGTACCGTTGATGGATTTCTTCCTCATTTAGAAATCGAGAAAACAAAAAATTTTCTTGCTTTTACAGAAACGAAGCTTTGCTGTTTCTATCCATGTGACTGCATATTAGGTTGAACACTAAGTTTTGCAACTCTTCTCATAACTTCACTCTCATTCAACATGGCGCACTCAAATTTTGGCATCATGTAGAAAGCAATGTGAGCTACAAGCGAGCACAAATTGTCTGCAATTTTGAACACGAAATAGAAAAGTTTCAGGCATTTTTCGAAAACTAGTAAAATTTGAGAATTTTTGAGGTTTCAAGCTAAAATGAAGCCTTTGGCAGCCTAGACCATGCGCAGTAATCCGAATTCGTCTACAAATTATTGCAAGAGGTTGACTCCTTTGGCCTAGCAAGAAAGAAACAAAATTTATGGGCATGTCGAGATTTGGCGTCCTCATAAAGTCGAACGAGTCGATGTACGCAAGAGCTGCTGGGGACGACCGTCAATGACTAAAGAATCCGAAGCTCAAATTCCGCCGAGACTTCACATAGTAAGGTTATTTGACCTGCCGAGTGCGAATATCATATTCATTTGTTGAATCAACGCCTTTTTCCTCATTTAGGGTAAGACCCCATATCGTACACCTACAGTAATCCTACAAAAAAGCCCTTATCACACAATTTCACTATCGCTTTCGTAATCAGCATGTCGGATAACATCCCTATGCCAAGTTTCAGCCAAATCCGTCAAACTTTGAATTTTTCCCCTTCATACCATACACCTACCGTAACCATCACTGCGACGTCAGAATTTGGTAGGACAGCAGCTGCGCTTGTAGTATACATAATAACCAACACAGTGGCAAAATTTGAGTGCACCATGTTGAGTGAGAGGGAAGTTATGAGAAAAGTTGCAAAACTTAGTGTTCAACCTAATACTATTAGGTTGAACCGAAAGTTCTGTCGCACTATTTTCAAAAAATCATAACTTCTTTCCATCACAATGATTTTGCGCAATTCAAATTTTATCTGAAATCTTAAAGTATTTAGTTTCCAGATCTCTCTTGAGGACTTTTGAACGTGCTCAGGTTGCAGAGGTAAAATGATAGAAGATGAGATCATCCGAAATTGGAATTTTTAAGGCAAAAATTCTAAAAATTCAGAAACTGCGCGATAAAATCCAGAACGGCCATCGTCCTAAGGTTTCTTACATTTTATCACTAAATGGGTCAAGTTTGTGCTGATCGAGCTCTTCTTTCAAAAGTTATGATTTTTTGAAAAAATTAGCGAAAAATCAATTTTCTAGGAATTCTTAAAGAATTACTTTTTCGGCATTTTCGACAGAAGAGCTCGATCAGCACAAACTTGACTCATTTAGAGATAAAAAGTAAGAAAACTTAAGATGATGGCTGTTCTGGATTTTATCGCACAGTTTCTGAATTTTTTAGAATTTTTGCTTAAAAATTCCGAATTTCGAATAACCTCGTTCTTTCATTTTTATCTCTGCAACTTGAGCATATTGGAAAGCTTTCAGGAGAGATCTATAAACTACATGCTTTGCGCTTTCAGATAAGATCTGAACTGCGCAAAATCTTTGTGAGGGAAAGAAGTTATGATTTTTTGAAAATGGTGCTACAGAACTTTCGGTTCAACCTAATACAAGCCCCTAGAAGTATGACCGTACAATTTCAGCTTTCTAGAAGCCCTAGTGTTCGAAAATTACCTAATTTAGCATTGAACACCAGAGTGAAAAAAGCTAGATTCGGTATTTTTCGAAAGTTAGGACTTCTGGAAAGCTGAAAGTTTACGGTTATACTTCCAGGAGCTTCTAGTATACAGCTACATAAATAGAACAGCAAAGCGGCGTTTTTGTAAAAACAAGAAAAATTACATATTCTCGATTTCTAGATGAAGAAGAAATACAGCAACGGTACATATGAGTGTGTAATGTAGTGTGCAATTTTATGAGTAAGTTGGCTCGTAGGATTTTTTTGAACAAAGATATGAATTTTTCCTAATTTTTTGAGCCTTTAGTGCGACTCACATTTCGGATGCAAACTTACGGTAGGTCGGAGCTGGTGCAAACTGTTGCAGACCATCTTGTAGAGCTTGCTTTGCTCTATAATGGTACCCTGGAGCAACCATAAAAATCATGTAGTTCGACTTGTCGTCATAAGAAACTAAAGTGTAACAAGACTTACGTAACAACCTAATAAATGCAATCATGGTCACCAAAAGCAGTAAAGTATGCATATACTGATTCAGGGAAGAAAACCATGCGTCTAAAAATTGAATGATGAACCTTTTGAGAACCTCGTTTTTGAGAGATTACAACTCCCTTCAGGTTTTGCTGTTCTGGTGGTAAACAGCTTATTTTGTAGACGCAAGCCAGTAGCAACGAAGGAAAGCTGCGAAAAGAAAAGATAGAAAGAAATCTAAAATTATTCACTTTTTGGGCCTATTTGTGGTAGGCCAGAGGGCCCCTAATCATGAAAATTTGGAATTCTTTACGCACTGAATGGCTAAGTCTTTCTGCAAAAATTGTAGGTAAGATGTACTGACCTCAAGCATACAGAAATGAGCAAAGCTTCGGCGGTTTCCTTAATCAAGAAAAAATTTCTAACCCATAGACTGCTATGCCCAAGTGTCCATTCTGAGGCGTACTTCTCAGTCAAACATATTCGAAAATTTTATTCAAACATGCAATAGGCAAAGAACATTCATCCCATACAGTAACTACATTTTCAAAAAAATTTGTTCATTTGCGCCTGAATTGTGGCCAAAGAAGTTGAAGCAACGAAGTTTTTAGTACAGCTGTACAAGAAGCTGGTGAAAGTCTCATAAATAAGGTGAAAGCTAGTTCCACCACTGTTGGAAAGTACATGAAGAAAGCTTTCTAATGTTATGCAAAATTTATTTCGAAAAAGAAATTTTGAAGGGAAAAAGTTGTTCGAAATGTAGGCCTAGAGAAACGGACGTTATTTTTGCAACAGCCTAATAGCTTTCCCAGGAAACTTCTGTAGTATAGACCCGTAAGATGTAGCTTCGTTTTCAAACGAGCGCTATCCGATTTCGATATTTACATTTCGTGTAACATACAGCAGATTGAGTAAATGTATGTTACTTAACTTTATGAAACAACCCAATGGCAATTTTAGATCTTGAAAAGGATGACAATGCAGCTTGGATGGGTGAATCAGAGGAAGAATTCGAGGTTGAAAGCCAGAAAATTCAAGGTAATTTTTTGCTCAAAGGAAGTTCAGCATGATTTTTTAGAGAAACAAACGCAGAGACCCACCACTTGAAAAAATAGTAAACAGGATGAGAGGGAAAGGGGCTCATTCATCCACAGAGTTTGCAAAAAGTTTTCGGGACTGTCATTGTTGTCCAATAAGTTTTCACCATCTGTTTTCTACCTGCTGAGCCTTTCTGTCACGTTGCGAGTACGGAGTTAAAGCGCGAACGAAGGCTAAAACAAGGAGCGCCTATCCATACCGTTTGAACTAGTCCTAACTAAACGCAATCTCAAAACCACTTCACCCGCGGTTTCCATGAAGAAACTGCAAGTGGCCCCCGTAAGCCATTTTGCTCCTGCTTTCTAGTGTTTGTGGGCCGCATATATCAGCATCTCCACCAGAGAGATAAACGTAGATCAAAATAATTTTTGTCTTGTTGCTTTAGCGACGTGACTTTTACAACTCTCCATCTCTTGTTCCCATTAAAGGCAGCGTTCAGGCAAGATCCATCCACCCAGATTAGCACATAGTTGTAAAGAAGGGCCCATGAGTATCCGATCTGCGTTGGTCCGATCTTTTGACTTGGCCTCTGGAAGGAGATACGGGCCTGTGATACGTATCGCAAACCGCCCCTTCGTATCACAGACCACCCCTGAGGACGAGTGCTCACGCAGGTGTGCAGTTGCATTGCAGTTGCGCTGCACACTGCAATGCAACTGCATCCGTGCAGTGCAGCTCCTCAAGCTGGCATGCGATGGGGACGAGCCATCCGAAACTCGTCCGCTCCTTGAAGAGAGGATCCCCAAGAATTGGGTTTTTTGAGGGTTTTGAACAATTTGGACTTCACGACTGTAATTGAGGCCACGGAAAGGCCGCCTTAGAATGGCAGAAACATGAGAGGCGAAATTTTTTCCGGACGCTGCCTTTAACCTTTAATATGAACTTAGCGAGCAGTCGTCGCACCCGCGTTTTCGCAATGTTTTGTGTAACCTACCAATAATCTCCAGCAGTTTGCTGTTTTTTCCTGACTGTTTGCCTTTCTATGAACTTACGGAACACTCGCTTTGCTTCATACCCATTTCAACAACGATAAGCATGTTGGTGGCAAAAAAATTAATGCATGCGACAACCATTGCTTGAGATCCAGCCTTTTATCAAAATTCTGAATATCCGATATCTCTTTGTTTATATGGGAAATGCTTGACAATGTTGGATTGGGTAACCAGCACAATTTATGGTGCTCTAATTATCTGCGCATGAGAGAGAAGAAGTTTGAAGCCAGAGCTGGAACTCTAAGGCCTAAGGCATACCTCACGCGATTTTTGTCGCAGCGCGATTTGGCACTACAACGACTCTCCATAGCTGGTCGTAAACGCACTTTGCTTGGGCCAGACTTGCTGTGTTTGTTACAATTTACGGAATCTACGCACCCATGCATCTGACAGCCTCGCATGCTTAATCTCTAGACATCTGGCAAATCGCCAAGTCGCGAGGATGTTGCGATTTCGCGAAATCGCGAGAGGTATGCCTTAGGCCTAAAGGACTGAGTAACGCCATGCTTACTAAATGCGTTTTTGTTAATTATGTTCTTGCCAAAGAAGGTTAAAAAACTTTTAAAAAGATATTTAGCGTCGGGGCACTAATAATTCTGAGAGGACGGGAAAATCGGTAGGCATGACATGTAAGCGAGCGGTTGTCAATACTGAGCAAGTGCCTGGCACCTGGAAATTCTTCAAATGGAGTCTCCTTCGTTTTGCAAATGTTCTTACACATCCCTCTCTAACCTTTGACTACCTGATACCAATTTTTCGTCTCGAGAAAAAAAGAGGAAGGGGTTGGTTGATTGAACGCGGAAATTGATTTCTTATCCCATGGGTAAGAAGAGGGGTTTAATTCTGAATGTAATTGCATTTTTTCGTTTTTAACTCACATCAGGTATACCATGATAGCATATTCTTTCGACGTTTCTTAGAACAGTGATTGCAATACGCCGTCTGAAAGGATTTACAGAATTGCAAAAATAAATAGTGGAATCAGAGGGCGTGAGAACTCTGCTACGCAACTTCTCAATTTCTTCGAATTTTTTCAACGTAACAAACTCACTATGGAGGAACTGCTAAAAGTCCTAGCATTATCTTCAAACAAAGAGTTATTGGTGGTTTCTTCTGTACTTTGAGTCTAAGTCGAAGCCTGCCCTACCAAATGTTTCCAGTCCGCAAAAAATAGAGGGATATATCAAACAGTGGGTACATACTTTTAAAAATCTTATACATTTTGTACATACTATGTCAGTTGTAAATAAACACAATGCGCTTTCGTTTGCCTAATGAATTTACGCCCTTCATTCTCGGTTGAAGGAGCGATATCAGATGATGAAGATGATCGTGATGACATAGAAGCTGAGGATTTACGATTAAAACAAAGGAAAAAGCTGACGCCCGGTTACTTGAGGTAAACAATAGGTAATTTAACTCCTGATATCAATCGTTCTTTTCAGTGCCGTTAACCTCGCGGTTGCTTTGATTGTTTTTGTATTTTGATCTATCACATATCGTGCTTGCTACAACACATCGTTATGTATGAAAACAACATGTGAACGAAACAACTTAAAGCATGAGAAGCACCTGTAGAGTTTTCAGCAATAAAATTGCAGACTTGCACTTGCGGTCAACTGACCAGATTTTGTTTTTGACAGCACCGGCAATACTTTCCTATAATACAAACCCGAAACCGAAAAGCGACGGATCGCTCCACTTTTGCCCATGTCATGGCGCTGTTTCAAATAGGAGCCATTCGCAGACCCCCCCCCCCCAAGAGACGGTGTAATGTGAGGAGAAGAGGACACAGAAATCGAAGATCGACGAGAGAGTATCATGACACGCAGGGTGCGCTCTGAAGTCACAGTTGCTGCCCCTTGAAGTACGGAAACGCATGCTAAGTATGTCGAAATTGTAGCATGTGATGATAACAAAGTTGGGCAAAATTATAACAGTTATCCATTCGCTTACACATCTCGCTGCACTGAAGGCTCATTATAAGGAATGACCGGCTGTAGGAATCTCCATCACTGTCTATCGATTTTATCGATTATTTGCCTCATGTTCGCATAAAGATAATTTTGAAACTCACCACGCCATATTACACATCACAAATGGATTGTAAACAACTGTTCATTTTTGAAGCACCACTTAAGATCGGTAACTTTGAGGAAGAAAACTTTTTTGCAAAGGAACACTTGCGAATCTAAATGGATTACTGAAATAGTTTTGGCTTTTTAGTCTCTTAAGGATAATAGCCCTTTTGGGCTACATTTGCGTGCAAAAATTTTTCAGATTGGCAGGTAAAACCTTGCCAAATCGACTATTGACGCGATCACCGCCTTCTGGCGCGGTTTGACAGGAGGGCAAACTTTTCAAGCGCTTTTTAGGGCTAGAAGTAATGGGGCGCAGATTAACTTGCTAGGCACATCATGGCTTTGCAAATAATCCAGATATGAACTCAATTTTGCCGGCCTAAAGCCGTGTGGATCCATTTGACGCACAATTTTTGTAGCATCAACGCATCGGATCCACATGAAATTTTACATGATGGGCCTAGAACAGGGCTTCTCAGACAGTCGACGGCATACCTCCGGAGAAGAAATGGCCGAGCCGCGGGGTTTCCCCAGCTGGGGATTGCCACTCGTGCTCCGGAGCCCTCCCTTTTGTGCTCCGGAGACCTCCCAATTGTGCACCGGAGCCCTGCCATTTTCTGCTCCGAAGGTGTCCCAAATCTGGCGCACTCGCGGCAGTCAAATCTCTCCGCCGCGGCTCTCCCAAATCTGGCGTACCTCCGGAGCAGATCCGGAGAAGGGTCCCATTCGCCTGCTTGTGACGTCACCGTGGCCTACAAGAAGGGACCGCCCCCTCGCCTCGCTCTCAATGGTCAATTGGGTCCGCCGCGGCTCTGCCAGATTTCGACTGTCCGGCGCGACTACGGCACCGATTGCCTGAGTTAGCACAAGGCGGCATTTGGGAATCTTAGAAACGAACTCCCCTTTGACATTGCTAAAATTTAGGAATAACCCTTTGTGGATCTGTGGAAGTACGGCTTATAATAACTGAAAAAAAGCAGAAAATCGGGGATAAAACAAAAGAGGCGAAAAAGAAGAAGGTTTTTTTATATCGTTAAGTGCCGTAGGAAAGCAGTGGGATCGAAACTTGGGTTAAAGTGAAACCCGTAGATAGAGCTTAAACTGAAAAACCGACTTATGTAAAAGATTTCGAAAAAATATGTGAAGAAGTGGATAAATTATAACTTTGTTTGGTCTCGCGCAACCTCAGGGTACATCTAGGTTGCGCGGGGCAACCTAAATTAGAAAAACACTTACAACTTCCTTCATTCACATAAATTTTTCATAATTTTTTCATACTTATCTTTTCATCGCCGTCGCTGAGGTATATATAAAATTTGGTGGTTTACTATTGCTTAGTCATTGTAAACAAACTTTCTATCTCTTTTGCATAAAGGTAATGTTTTAACACTTTGAGAATCGTGTGAACACAAGATGGTCACTTCTTGTTTATAACATGTTGATTTACCTGTTCGTGATTGAATGACGTTGAAGCCTCAAATTTGGGCTACTGTGTGTAAGAATTGTGCTTCCCATCCTATTCAATCCGGAAATCCCCCCTCCCCTGAGAAGTTTACGATTACCCTTTCGCTTCACCACAAGAGAACGATATTTAGCGTGTGAAGGCGCCACTTCTGCTGAGCCTTGGCATAGATGCTAGCAAGGTGCTATGACCAAATTTTCAGCTCAAGACATTTGCTGAAACTCGCTCTCTCAATTTCATCACACACACACACACACACACACACACACACACACACACACACACACACACACACACACACACACACACACACACACACACACACACACACACACACACACACACACACACACACACACACACACACACACACACACACACACACACATTACGTGCACATTACATACGCACACGCAACACACACACACACACACATTACGTGCACATTACATACGCACACGCAACACACACACACACATTACGTGCACATTACATACGCACACGCAACACACACACATTACGTGCGCATTACATACGCACACGCAACACACACACATACACATACACACATATACACATACACACACACACACATTACGTGCACATTACATACGCACACGCAACACACACATTACGTGCACATTACATACGCACACGCAACACACACACACATTACGTGCACATTACATACGCACACGCAACACACACACACATTACGTGCACATTACATACGCACACGCAACACACACACATACACATACACACATATACACATACACACATTACGTACACATTACATACACACACACATACACACACATACACATTACGTACACATTACATACATACACACACTTTACGTGCACATTACATACGCACACACAACACACACACATACACATACACACATATACACATACACACACATTACGTACACATTACATACACACACATTAGACCATTATTGTAAGTCCTCTACCGATGCGCCACCTCTGCTTCACAGAGGCTCGCACTGGTCAGTATGAAAGGGGTCGGAAAAACTTACGTTGTGACACTAATTTTGTTCGTTTGAGTCACTTACTCAAGTGATGCCGAACAAAATCAAACCTCCTCTGTTTTGCGACTATCCCATGCTATGAAGTATTGCTATATAAAGGAGCATAACTTACTTTCAAAAGAACTAGATTGGAGCAAACTTTGCTCGTTGTGTAGCCGATTGTCGGTTCAGTAGTAGCGTGGAACTCGGCTTTTACTAAAAATTTTCTGCGGAAAAAATATTGCTAAGAAAGCAGAAGTACCATCTTCTCCTGCATTTTAGAGAAGGCAAAAATCTGTACTTTTTAGATCCCTTCAATTTTTTCTTATTTCGAAAACGAGAAAATTCTGCCGTTTTCCTACTATTAGTAGTCCTTGGTCTACTCTACCAGAACCAAGTGAAAGTTCTGTGATTGCTTTTCATTTAAGCATTTTATAAAGCTCCTAGTGATCCCAGCATTCAGCTAAGTTTGAGTCAAAGCTTCTCGGCTCAGGACTGCTAAAAAATTGACCTTGGTAAGCTTTTTGTGGCACTACTCTTCGTAATTGTAACACATATTCTTTGAAGCAAAATTGAGCATTTTTGATGGAATTAGGGAAAGTCGAATGAAAGGAAAATTTTCGAGTTTGAGTTCCTCACCTTTAAAGGCACGGAACTTCAGTCTGAACAAAGATTTCCGAAAACGAAAGTGTATGTATGAAAGTAGAAGAAACGAATTCCGATAGTTCAGATGGTTTTAGAGAAAAACGATTTTTGATTGAAAACTAGCGTTTGAAAGAAGAGGTAGGAAAAACGTGCATTAATTATGAACCAACCTAATATATATACGAGCTGGCAAACCCGGCTCCGCCCGGTCCTGCCAATAATGTATCGAATCAGCATGTTCACTTACCCCCTCCCCACCCTGCACACCCCACCCTGCACACCCTGCACAAACTGCATAACCTGTACAACCTGCATACCCTGCACCCGAATCTGCACAAACACACAAATTCACAGATTTTCTGCTTTATATATATACAGTGTCCCAAAAAATGTTTCGAACGTTTGATCGTTAATATCTCTCTTCCCAAGAAGTCTTTTGCCTTGCTTCAGGTACAGTTTTGTAGAGCTGGCTTCAACTTAGATTTCCATTATAGAACGAATCACCCATCTTTCTTCATTACTGTAGGATTACGGTAGAAACTTGAAACATATGGTGTCAATGTGGAAAAAGCTGCCGTTTCAAAATTTTTCAAAAAATTGTGAAAACTTGTGTAATAGGGTTTTTATAGACGCTGAGTTCAATACTCAACTATTCACAAGATTACGAAGCTTTCTAAACGGTGTAATCGCACTTTTTAGGAACATTGAAAAAATGCCGCTACCTCTTACTTGGCATAACTCTTCAATGAAGCATCATAATAAGTCGGAAACTCTACAGTTATAATCAGCAACTCTAATTAGCCTAGTGTAGAAGCTTTCAGGCCGTTTTGTTATTTTTCTGAGGCAAAATATGGCCTTTCATTGCTTAAAACCCTCTTTCAAGTTTCTACCGTAATCCTACAGTAATGAAGAGAGATGGGTGATTCGTTCTATAATGCATATCTAAGTTGAAGCCAGCTCTACAAAACGGTCCCTAAAGCAAGGCAAACGACTTCTTGGGAAGAGAGATATTATCGATCAAACGTTCGAAACATTTTTTTGGGACACCCTGCATATAGGGATATAAACAGATATACACGTATACACATATGCACATATACATTTATTTATTTATTTATTTATTTACTTAATACATTACTACAGTGTAATGTGCTAGATAGTAGAATCGCTAAAATCGAAATGATGCAAGTACATACGAAAAATATGTACAGATGATCTGCTCTCATTTTCACATTGCTAAATCTTCTGCGTAAGAATCATACTAACAAGCTTGAAAATTTTCGCATATAATGAATCAATTTGGGGAGCGGTAGTATGTTAGTATGCGAAAGTTACCTTCTTTT